ATGTTTGCCGGGGTTCCGAGGCAGTATATGTTTTAAATGTGAAAGTAATATCGTGAAGGTTGGTTTAGGTAGTTCACTCTTTATATATATTAAGATTAATAGCATTACTTTCATGGATTGAAGCTCAGGTGCATTAAGGCGATAGGGGAAAAATGCAAAACAGGTCCAGGGGTCGGGCTCAAGTAGGATAAATATTTGAATCTTGCTGCAATTCATTGAAATAATCGTCGGGTGCGATCGAGGGTGCGGAATTTTTGAATTTTAATGAGAAAATTCTTCCCCAGATGTCGATGTTTTGTTAGAATTGAATAGAATTACGCGCTCAACACGAGGCAAATATTTTGATTTCGCCTTTCTGTTTCAAAATTGTAACAGAAAATTAATTTTTTATTGAACGTCAGAATGTTTCACCAAAATGATATTCAATATTTTGTTACAATTATTAATACAAAGATCGAAAACTTGGAAAAAATTCCTTCGGTCGGGCCGGATTCGAATTGATGTATGCCAATTAAGCCACGGAACGAAAATACTAATTTTATATATTATATTATTTATATTCTATAATAATTCTGACATTTAAAAAAATGATTAGCGACATGTCTAGCCAGATTTCATAAATTTCTCATAGATGGTCATAGATGGAAAGTCAGTCGTCATTACGCCCGAGAGTCGGCAGATAACTCATTTTGCGTCGTCGTGTGAAACAAACCGTACTTTTATATGAAACCGAATGCACCGCAAACTACGCAACTCAAACTACGCGACTCACAATTCACAAAATTACGCTCGTCTGGCCTCACATTTAAATGAGTGAAACGCCGAGATTATCGGGGGGTCGATTCAGAACCAGATTTGATATCGTACGATTACTTTTCATACCAACAACCGAAATAACGTGACACCGGTACGGTTACTCGAGCTTCTCGACCGGCAAAGGCTACAAATGTTATTCAGAACGCAGTTATCGAATGAAAATTATCGAACGTCCTATTGTTTACAAAGCAAGAATGTAATATGGAAATCTCTTTTTATTTTGAATAAAGTCTGGATTTTGTTCAATTTTATTAATTTACTTTAACACAGGACTATTGCATTCCTATATTTTAGGCCTTTGGAAAAGATAAAGATAAAGATCGATTTATTTGTTTGGAAGTAGGTACAATAAGTTCATCAGATCAGTTCAATACATCGACAGTGCTACTACAACCAGTTTCGTCGAAACATACAAATATAATTAGTGGTGGTCGCACAATGTACAAAATATTATAATTAAAAACTGTCAAAAACTAGTAAACATGCAAAGAAAAAATATAATAAAAATTAGTAAAAATTAACAATGTCAAAAATAAAGCGAAAAATCATGTTAGTGTCAAGCTTAAGATATTTACATTTCTAAGCCTCCATAAAATATGCGCATGTCAATAATGAATGAAAGTCAATAATGACATAAATTAGGCAAATACATCTGTAATGTTATGTAATCTTACTAGATATAAAAACAATTATAATTGGGCCCTAAATCCATCTCGTATTCATATAATCATTTATATTATAAAAACATTTATCAATTAAATACTGCTTACATTTATTCTTAAACAAATCTACATGTAATTCACGGATAGATTTTGGGACTATTATATAATCTTGGCAGCATACAGAGCACACTTTTTGACATAAATGCAGTTTTATGTGGCATCATATGTAGATACTGCATCATTATCTCTTCTATTCCTACGTCTTACTTCCATAGGTTTGTTGAACAGATTAGGGTTTGTTTTGACAAATAATACTGATTCTAGAATATACAATGATTTGATTTGAATGACCGTTAGTATATTATATTTTTTTAAATAGGGCAAACAGCTGTCCATGCGAGAAATGCTAAATATAGCTCTTATACATTTCTTTTGTGCTTTAAATACTAAATCCCGATCTGTAGAATTACCCCAAAAAATAATCCCATAGCTTAAATGTGAAGCCACTATACCGTAATAAGCCGTCAATAATGAGTTAATGTCAATTATATGAGCCAATCTGTATAAGGCATAGGAAGAAATGCTTAATTTTTTACATAGGTTTTGAATATGTGTTTTCCATGTCAACTTATTATCTACAATTACAACCAAAAATCTAGTCTCGGTTACTTGGCCTATATTTATGTTGTCATAACTAACATTGACGTTATTATTATTCTGTCGCTGACTGTAATGCATTACTTTAGTTTTTTCAAAATTAATACTGAGGTTATTTTCTTTTAACCAAGTTGTAATGGTTATATTAATATAGTCTATTGCTTCGTTAATGTCTTGTTCATAAGTAATTTTATTTTTACACTTAATTGTTGTTGTACTGTCATTGGCAAAGAGAGAAACGTGGTGATTCGGTACAACTTTAGGTAGATCATTTATGTACAAAATGAATAGCAATGGGCCCAAGACGCTACCTTGCGGAACGCCGTACATTACGTTTTACTACAAGATCTAAGGACACATTCGGTTTTGGTACGGATATTTATGTTGCTGATTTCAGTGATTTGTTTTCGATTATTAAGATACGATGAAATTAGTTTAAGAATATTACCTCTTATACCATAGGTTTCTAATTTTCCTAAAAGTATTTTGTGCTCTACATGATCAAACGCTTGAGTCATGTCGCAAAAAATAGAGCAGACTGGCGTACTTTCATCTACACTTGATGTAACTTCCTGCATAAAATCATATATAGCCATGTTTATATTCTTTTTTGGTTGAAGTCTTAATAAGTATATAAAAGGATTTTAATTTTGCTTCTAATCTATTTCACCGATTAACTCCGTAAACGCTGTTGGGTAACGATGTCGTATCTGAATCCGAATCGAACGTCTAACTCGAATGTTCTGAATAGCTCTCGGCAAGCGCCCTTCGAACGATTCGGTAAAAACATCGAAGAGTTCTGAATCGGGGTCCCGTATCGGTAAAGTCCGACTATCCACTAATGGACAATTGAAATACCTTGTAAGGTCCTTTAACTACTTTAAAACATAGCAAGTCTTAGTGTCAAATACCTGCTATGTTTTGAATTGGTTCAAATGATATAAAAGACTTTTATAGCTGGCCACGAACCACACTAGGTGTTGTAGATTTTTGAAGCGGTTGTCACTACCATTAGGTGAGTACTTGCTACGGGAGTAAATTTTGTTAAAAAAATATTTTCAAATAAATTTGTCCGTTGTTAGGTTTGCTCTGGAGCAGCCGAACGTCGTCGTCTGCTTGGGTATTACATCTAAGAGCGGTTACACATGGTGACTTTAGCAGCGATGCAATCGCCAATCGTCGACCTTTACATACGTGCGCAATTTTAACCAGCGATGCTAGCATGCGACTGCATCGCTACACATGGGATTTAAAGGCGATTGCGTCGTTGCAATCGCGCGTTTATCATCGATGCACTCGTCTATAAATCACAAGTGTAGCTGCAATCGCGCGTTTTCAAGGGCTGCGTGTGTAACCGCTCTAACGTACCCTTGATTTAACTGTTACAGTTGTCCTTGACGTTTAAGTTGCGATAAAATTATTTTACAAAAGAGAGTTTCAAATTTTTCTCACGGTTAAGGGGGTTACGCATTAAACCCTAACATGTCATATCTACAAACGAATCCAATATCCAAATCTAGTTACATTGGTAACAATACTCTTTTAAATGGAAATAATAAAAAAGGTTGACAATAAATTTGGTGGGCGCCTCCGAATGCAAACGAAGAGAATTCAATTTGTCTTAACGACATCTTCAGTGTGTCCAATGAATATTTCATTCTTATTTGCGTCTTACATAAGTCTACTCACTTTGATTGCATCTTGCTATTTATTCAGAATGTATTAAGACGTTTATTTACACTTTACAAAAAAGAAATCAAAGAATACTTCACTTGTAGGCAGGTTTCATAATTTTAGAAAAATATTATTAAAATTTCAAAGTCAACAATTAAAGCGCACATGAGATGATGCCATGAAAAGATTTATTCAAGTAGAACAATCAAATTAAAACAGGAGGAGAAGAAACGCTCTAGACTCGAGAGCTAGCAAACGAATTAAATGCACTCCATTTGTTCGGCGTTACTCAAGTCAAAAGGACATCGTTAAATTGAGTCCTTGCTCATTGCTGACTTGGTTTTCCCTTGGTTTGTGGAGAAAATCACAGTCATAAAGTCATAGACTGCAGTTTCTTTTGTCTCTGTTACGGAATGGCGCGAAGCCAAATGCATTGTCCTCAAAACATAAGCTAGTAAGTCTAGATCATAATATAATACAACTGGTCCTTTGATTTATATTTATAAGCATTGAAAAATATTCCTTACTTTTTAGACTCGGCATAACCCGTAACATAAGAACTAGTGAACTGCAACGGAAGTGTCATAACAGAAACAGATATCAAAAGTAAGTTTAGCGGAAACGGAAGCGGATTCGGAAGCGGAAGTATAAATAATATAAAGAACTCAACGAAATAGTTCCCAACAGGGCTTGTTTTTGGTTTAATAATTTAAGTGCAATTATTACACAACACAAAACTACTTAAATACGCGCGCTCCATCGCCAAGTAATCCGCACTAGCGCGTGATCCGTCGCAAACGTTGTAAATTTCCGATCAAAGTTCCGTTATATATATGTTGCGGAAGTAGAAACGGAAACAGATGTGAAGTAGCGTGCGGTACTTTCGCAGTTGCGGAAGCAGAAGCAGAGGTCTGTTGCATCACTAATCACATCGCTCAGAAGAAATAAAAATTTCATGATTTTTATTAGATTTCAGGAGCCACCTCTCCTTTCAGTAATTCAAATGTTAGCTTTAAGAAATCTCTTTATGGGATAAGTTCGCCTATGTACACTAAAACGTTTTCAATTCTTTGTTAAAGTTTATAATTAGTTTTGTTGTACATACAAGAACCCAACAAGAGAAAGTTGTTTTTTACGCTGTTCGGTAAAATGAGTTAATAAAATGTATTGGGCTCGTGTCTCACCACTCACCTGTCACTAGAGACTAGTATGAGTTGCGTATTTGCATACTTCGACCGGCGCTTACGCACTGCAGATATTGCAGAGCACAAACTTGGCGCGAATGTTCGGCATGGCGGACACTGAAAGCAGAAGGCAACACGGAATAAGATAAGGATTTCGTATACCTACCCGTGTTGAATGAGTTCTAGATTTATTATAAAATAAAGATATATGACGTACGCCTCAATAGGTGTTAATATAAATGCTGTCTCCGTGGTCGAACGGTTACTGTTACCATTTAGTAGCAGTAGAGCTCCTTGTGAAAGAGTTTGTCCAGGGAAGTACTGCCACGTTACTTATTTCTGGCGCCAAGCGGCGTTGTGAACATCACTGCATTCCGGTTTTGAAGGGTAAGGGTGCTGGTGAAATTACAGGCATATGGAACTTGAACTTTTGAACTTGCATATTGAACTTTTAACTGCCTCCGTGGCCGAACGGTTACCATGCCGGACTGCCACGCAGAGGTCCTAGGTTCGATTCCCGGGCCGGGAGAAATATTTGTATGGCCTACATTTATTTCTCTCGTGAGTTTGGGTGTAATTTGTGTTTGTCTATGTATGTGTCCATGGCACCCGCGACACAGGGTTTCCCTAGTGCGGGGCTATGTTGAGTGTGTGCGTTATTATTATTATATATTATATATAACTTTTCAACTTGTGTCAGGGTGATGGGCGCAGAGGCAGCCGGGAGATATAATTGTAGTTGTAATTTGTGGCTGTTTCTGTGTTTCTTCCCTAGTGCGGGGTTTAAAAAAAAGGAATACAGTCTCACCCAATGTGCAGCGAAGTAAAATACTCTGACGGCGTCATCAGGCAGTTGTTCATGTAATTTGTTTCCTCCAACTCCTTGCAGTTGTACGCCGCGTAGGACCTCGTGAAGAGGAGGTGCAGGCCACGGGAAACGCTCACCGAGTGGGTCGTTGAGCAATGCGTCGCGAACTGCGCGACCTCGGATCACAAGCGTCGGGACGCCTACGGCAATGCTGTACTTTTGTGTCAAACGTCGCTGAAAAAAAAAACTTCAATTACCTACAATTGAAATAAGATTATTAACAATGAAATTCACAGCTCCAAAGGGTCTTATGACTAATATATAAAGTTGGATAGAAACAAAAAACTAATAAAAAACAAAAAATATATGGATAGTAAAACCGTAAATTAGTTTATTAACACAATTAGGTAACTATTCCAAAGTCGTGTTAATTTATTTTTGACAATGTATGACATATTTTTATTTTCTTAAATGTGTTAACACTAAGGGACAATTTTTCAGCGGATTACATTTTTTTTTTCCAATTTTTTTGCACTAAGCTCTAGGCAGCTCTAGAGAAAATGGAAGACAACTTAATTTCTACGCATGTGTGTGGATATGTATGGAAGTGTGTCTGTGTATGAGTATGCAGATGGTTGTGTGTAGTATGTTATATAGTCCATTTGTATAAGTACCTACTTAACTAAATGTAAACAATCTTGATATATCTTTTTATTGAAACATATGCTTTGCAAATCAATATGTATAAAAATAGGCATGCAATTTCATATGAAGCTTAGTATTTGTATTGTGTATTTCAGGGTCAGTAAAAATCTTTTTATAAACGCTTATTTTATTAAATAGTATCTGATCTGATCTGACCTGGACAGAACACATTGAATCAGTTTGTGGAAAAATCAACAAATTTGTGACTAGAAAACTGCTTTGATGGCCTACCACGTTATGTGTGTTCGACTCTACGGTATGGAATTGTTGTCTGGGGTAACTCTGTTCATATAAGTCGAGCTTTTATCTTACAGAAGTGCATAAAGGAGATGTGTGGTGCTGGTAAGCGAGATAGCTGTAAACCCTTATTTAAAAAACTAAGAATATTGTTCCTTTCCTTCCTTATTTATATTCGAAATATGTATTTTTGTCAAAAAACATAGTTATTTATTTACTTCAAAAAATGTTCCTTTTTTAACCCAATATCCTTATCGTTTGGCCCGATACATACACACTGCTACATCTTTTCAAAGGAATTGTATATATATAACATGTGCGTAAAATTATATTACCTGACGATATAAAAATTTTACTTACGTCTAGACTTAAGAAAATACTATTTGAATTGCTTGTGACAAATTGTTTTTATAATGTAAATGAGTTTTGACATTTAAATTTTGAAGCCTGCGACCCTCTACATATTTATTGCTTTGACATGCGTTTTTTTTATTAAATCACAATTTTTCTCTAATTATATTATTTAATGAACAAAATGTAATTTTATAATGTAATACGATATGATTTTAATCATATAAGTAATACGACTTTGTGTAATAAATGCGAACAATGTATAATATTTGCTATTAACATTTGTATGCCAGTTACTGGCGCAACACGCTGAACCATAAGTGTAATCTTAAACATGTTAACTGTATTTACCGTGTATGCTTACAAATAAATATGTCTCTATCTCTTTCAAGATTGTTTACATTAAGTTAAGTACCTAAACAAATGGACTATAGTGTGTAATTGAATTTTTAATTATATAAAAATATTAAGTCAAATTTATTATATTATTTTAGACGGTATCAATTTCAAAGTAGGTGTTACAATGATTGTTTCTATTTCTTTCCAATACATCTTCATAATATATATTTTCTATAATACTAATTGACGGGACGAGCAAGTTGTGCGCCTGGTAGTAAGCGACACGCTTGTCCGTAACAGTTGCAATTCCCCTCAGAGCTTTAAATCTCAAGGATCTTAGGGGGACTGCGCCCGTCACCCTGAGACGACGCGACATTGACAAGTCCCATGTGCCTGTAATTTCACTAGCACCCTTGCCCTTCAAAACTAGAACCCAATAATGTTCACACTGCTTGGTTGCAGAATTAGGTAAGGTGGCAGTACTTCTCTGGACGAACTCCTTTACAAAGAGCTCTACGGGTACTGACTTTATGTTTATAGTTATTACAAAAAAAAAAAGAAAGTACTTCTTCAGCACAGGTTTTGTGAGCTATTATTATACTGAGGCATTGATTTCGTAAACTCAGCCAAAAGTTAGTCAATACAACTTCTACTTCTAATAGTACTTCCCTGGACGACCTCTTTCACGGGGTACTCTATTGCTACTGCAATACGTAAAAAGAAATGTAGTTTTGAGCGTTGAAGTTTATAGTTAAGTACACCTTTATCATGGTTAAATTACATTAAGAAAATCGAACCGATCGCTTGGCCTGCACGAAATTTTACGCTGAAAGCCCTTTCAATTCCATTTAATAACGGTTATCCGAGCAAATAAATTCCAGCCAGTTTCGGAAGGACATTTACATCATTTGCCACAGTTTGATTGAGAACTAAAAGCGTTATTAACATGATACTCACGTTTACCGACAGCCACAGAGAGATGTGGCTATCAGAATACTAAATAATTCAGCTACTATGGAACGGGATCGCCCCGTAACCTTTTTGTACGACAAGATTAAACGCAAAATACTTACTGGGCAACGTGTGTTTAGTTAATACCCTTAATCAAATTAAAGGGTTTTGCTTTGCGCTGGTATTTAGTCTGATTATTTTGCGGTTTTCATCTTAATTTGACGTTTGTGTCTGTTGCTTGGTGCTATTTTTTCTAGAAGTACAACTATAGTGAAAAAATAGGGTGATTTGCATTAATATTAGACATAACTGGTTGATGACTGTACCACCTCAGTCGACCATGACCATGGGACCCGTAAAGGGCCGAAACGTTGGTTTGTTTGAAAAAACAAATATTCGTGATTTAAATCCGGAAAAATAGTTTCGTTTCCTAAGTACAATGTTAATTTTCTTTAAACAACCGTTCAATAAGATTCGTTTTTCTTTTATGTGTGTTATACCTTATTTGATATTACGTTGCGCAATGCGGGTTGTTTCCCCTTTTCAACCACGATGAGAAGACCAAATGTGTGGTAAGAAGCGAAATAAAAGAAAGTCATTTATGTTCCAGTATATCATACCGTTGGTGTAACAAGGCTACTTCTGCAAAATTACAGCTTTTCAGGGAAGAGGTTTAAAGATTCTACGGAAGAAATTAGTCCATATAGAGTTAAGCCGACAGCTACCTTGCCCAATGCATTAGCATAGCGATACAAAGGGGGAACGCTGCCAACATCTTGGGCACCTTGCCGCGGGGACCCAATTTTATTCATATAATTTAAAAATCCTAGTTTTACTTTCTAGTAGTTAAGCTCTTATTGTCTGTTTTACCTTACCAGTATGTTAAAACGAAGTCAATACACATTACGTTATTAAATAATAATACTTTACCAACATCTATACCTAAAATAATTGTACTATCGACTCTGTCTGCCAACTCTATGAGTTCTGGACAAGTCCCGAAAACCTGGAAGCTTGCAAATGTACAGCCTGTACCTAAGAAAGGTAGTCATGCCGACCCATCTAATTATCGACCTATCGCAATCACCTCCATACTCTGTAAGACTATGGAGCGCGTATTGAACAGCCGTCTCCTTGGATACCTCGAAGATAGCGATCTCCTCAGTGATCGATAGTATGGTTTTCACCGTGGTCGATCCACTGGGGATCTTCTTGCGTACGCCACACATTTATGGAGCGAGGCAGTCGAGAAACGCGGTGAATCGCTTGCCGTGTCTCTCGACATATCAAAGGCCTTTGATAGGGTTTGGCATGATAGCCCGTTAAACAAGCTTCCAGCTTACGGAATTCCTGTTGGCTTTTGCACATGGATAGGCGATTTTCTGAAGGATAGGTCAATGCGTGTAGTTGTAGATGGTTACTCGTCTGCTCCCCATGGTATAAATGCCGGTGTACCTCAGGGATCTGACCTGCTGCTGATGCCCGGTATCTTTGGATACGCAGACGACAGCACAGTGGTAGAGAGTTATGTGCCAGACGCCCGAGACAACAGCGAAGAGATCCGGTGTAAGCGAGAGGCGATGGTCACCCGGTTGAACCTCAGTCTGAAAGCTGCTTCCGACTGGGAAGATGCTAACAGGGTCAGGTTTAATGCGGCTAAAACACCGGCGTCTCTTTTCGCGTCAAAACGGAGTCCCTTACGCCTTACTCCGACTTTCCGAGATGTATCCGTGCCGATAAGGGACCACCTTGAGCTACTTGGTCTGGACTTATCATCCAACCTCAACTTTGGGCGATACATCGAGTGCTTGGCAAAAACTGCTGCCAGAAAACTAGGCATAGTTTACAAGGTCAGGCGGTACTTCCCACCTGAACAGCTTTTAAATCTGTATAAAGCACAAGTTCGATCCTGTGTGGAGTACTGGTGCCACCTTTAGGACGGCTCTGCCCATTACCAGTTAGCTGCGTTGGACTCGGTGGAGCGAAAAGGAAAGAGACTTATTAACAATAATTCTCGTCGAAGCTTCAAAACCTCGACCATCGCAGAAAAGTAGCCAGCTTGTCGGTTTTCTATCGGATACATTTCGGGGAGTGTGCGCAGGAACTTTTCAATTTGGTTCCGCCCTTACCGTTCCTCCTTCGGTCGACTAGAAGGTCCGGAGCACTCCATTCTTATGTCGTTGATATTCCACCCGTTCGCACTAAGCGCTTTACTTCCTCCTTTCTGATGCGTACGGCAAAGGAATGGAATGCTCTACCGAAAAGTACAATCTTCCCTGGCTCCGCTGCATACGCAGTCCGCAGAATACGTGAGCTTACCGATGTTAGTACTGCTAGACTGGTTTACTTTAGTTACTTCCATAGTATAATGTCTTACGGGATTCTCATGTGGGGTAAAGCGGCAGATATTCAAACCATATTTGTATTGCAAAAACGAGCGATTCGTTCTGTGTACCGTCTAGGTTCTCGGGTTTCTCTCAGAGAAAAGTTTAAGAAGACTGGTATCATGACTGTGGCATCACAGTACATTTACTCAAATATTTTATATGCTCGTAAAAATATACATAATTTCAATAAGAAAGAAGATATCCATAATATTAACCTTAGAGCTAAGTCCAAACTCATGGTACCACGATTTCGTTTAACCAAAGTAAACAACTCTTTTATGGGGAACTGTATACGTTTTTACAATAAGATTCCGGAGCATATATTAAGTTTATCATTTCCTAAGTTTAAAAACTACATTAAAAATATTTTGATCGAAAAATCATATTATAAAATTGAAGACTAAGTGTTAGATAAAGATGTATGGAAAGACGACATGGCTCCAGAATCCACACAAATTTGATTCAAAGTGTATTCCATAGCATTTAAGGTTATTTGAAAAGAGCAATCCCTAGAGTTTCTTGCTCGTTCTTCTCAGGGAGGTCAGCGTAGTGAACGAGCAGTAGCTTAAATGTGACGATTTCAAGTGTAAATTTATTTTACCTATGGAATAAATAATCTTTGACTTTGACTTTGACTTTGGGGCTACTCAAGGCTAGAGTGAATAGGCATATTTTTTAGGCAAACGCGTACATCGTCGCTTAACATCAGGTGAGATTGTGGCCAAGCGTGTGTCTATTATATATTAAAAAAAAAGAAAAGAAAAGGTAATGTTCTAAGTACCCTTAAAAAAAATATGTTCGCTTCTATAATAAGAAACGAACCCGGTTCATATTTAAAATTAGCTATTTACAAGGTTTAAAACTATAGTGCAACAATAACTCTACACAAAAAGTGTAATTATTTATTTGTTTTATTCACAATTAAAAAGTTTACAAAAAGAAACACAAAACAACGAATAAAAACCATTAACAGATTTATGTATCGCTGCCATCAAATGCTATCAGGCGTCT